TATTCCCTTTTCTCCATGTTGTCTGAATGGGAGAGGAAATGGGAGAGTGGGGGCAAGGAGGGGGCAGATTCATGCCTGTGGTGCTTGCTTACTTCCCCACAGATGAGGGATGGTTTGTGGTCTCCCCTCTCACCCCTCTTTCCTCATCTTCTGCAGGAGCACTGCCTTGTACGTTGCATGGAGTCTGATTCCTTTGATACAGAAGTAAGGGTGCAATCCTTGCCCCCCACCCCCCTCCATTACCGCTGCTCAAGCCTTACAAGAGATAAATATTAGGCAGTTTTGTACATACGGGTAGATGGTGGGCTTCATTTTTATCCCCGCTGGGTAGAAGGGATGCTCCCACCCGGGTAGTTCCTCTCGTGGAGGGGGGGGGGGGATTGATCCCTCCAAGATGAGGAGGCCTCGGGGTGAGCCAGGAGGGAGGCCATTAACTCCCAGGAGGGGAACATCTTGAATTTGTGGGTGGTTCTCAGCCTCGCACCTTGCACGTAGGTTGCCTTGCCCGGGGCTGCCTGGGGAGCCGGGCTGCTTTTGCAGCGTGCCAGGGTGCTGCTGCTGCAGCCCCCCTCCGGGGCAGCTCTGCTGGAGGGGGTGGATTGTGCTGCTGCAGTCGGGGTGTGGGACTTGGAGCTGACACGGTGCGTTTTCCAGGCTCAGCGAAGCCTGTCGCTTGTTTAGTGCTTCAGATATAGTTACGAAATGTCATTTGGGGCTCTTTCTTGTCTTCATTGACTGCGTTCTTAGAAAGCCCATTTTCAGAGCACGACCGTTTTTATTTTCTAGTCACGACAATGTCACATCTTCAGACAACTGGGGCTAGTGCTGCTGTCGTCTGGCTTCAGGTCATCTGGTGAAGTCAGCCCTGCTGTGGACCTAGCAAAGCCTGAGTCTCTGTTTTACTTCAGAGATGTTCATTTGATCAGACAAGAAAGAAAAAAAAAAAAACAAAAAAAAAAAAAACAAAAAAACCCAAACCCTTGTCCCTTAGGCAGAGCTGGAGAAAAGGGCCTTTGTCTGGCAGGAACAGGCAGATGCTGTGGAGAGCTGCAGCCTGCGGCCCAGTTGGTCTGCAGCCAGATACGACTTTCGAAGAGTTATCCAAAATCCACCGTGCAGCCAGGTGTAAGAGCTCTCCTCTGTTTGCTTACCACGGGGCGACGTCTGTAGGTGTTTTGTGTTCCCCCAAAACACCCGGGTTGTAGGCGGGAGCAAATGTCCACCCAGATTGGTGGCGAAACTCCACGGGGCCGCAGTTTACTTTCTGTAAACAGGAACAGGGCTGTTTGGTTTGTCTTTTCAAGGTTCTGGGGGAATGGGAAGCGGAAGATAAGGTTACATCTGTCCTAAATCCATGGCTTTTTGCAGGGGTTAAAACCCAGCTGAACACGTCCCTTTGCTATGTAGAGAGAATAGTTTAATAATTCAGGCAGACTCCTTGTACCAACACATGTCTTCGATTAGTGCTGCAGCTGCCAGTGGGGTGTGAGGATAGCAGGAAGCTGGCAACAGAGCTGTCTGCAGAGGTATTAAAAACAAAACAAAAAAAAAGGCACATTTACAATACAAGTGCTCTTTTCTCTTTCTTTCTTTAAAAGGTGAACCTTCTAGGTGAAAGATGCCAAGCTGAAAGCCACAGACAAAGAATGTCTTTCTTTTGCAAGCAAATATATATACAGCTTCTAAGGCTAGAATTCTCAGTTTCCTCCCTAAATTGCCCTTGCCTCTTCCTGAGTGCAGGGGTGGTTGTTGCTATATCAGAATTAAGGGTTATTCTCTGGCTTTCCAGCTCTGGACGCAGCTGATGACCGACTGCTAAGGTGCCTGCAGAAGCAGAGAGGGGATTGTGGAGAGGAGGAGGAGGAGGAGGAGGGTTGGCAGTGGGAGAACGTGCTTTGAAAAGACAAGAGTGAGCAGCTTAGATGCAGGTGAAAGTTTTGAGGAGCTGGAGGCTTAACTGCTCCTGACTGGTTTCTGCTGTAGCTACTGCTCGCATGCCTTTTCTTTTTTAATTCTCTAAGCAAATGGAGCCTCTTTCAATGAGACAATTGTTTTCTTAAGGGGAAAAAATAAATCAAACTGAGCTAGCTTTAAGCCTTCAGCGTGGTAGAGATGTGTATAACATATGAAAGATTCCTGTCAGTCAAATGGTGGTGGTTTTTTGTAATCACTGAGTTAGGAGAAGTCCAGATCCCTAAAATTGCCTGTTCCCCGAGTTCAGTAGCTGGGCCGTCTGACCTGTGGCAATTGTTTGTGAGGCTCCTCTGTTGAGCAGTATTCAAAGTTGCATCACAGACCATTCAAAATAAGATTAAAAAATTATAATGAAACTAGAGAATCATTTAAAAAACTGATTGACCATTTATTTGCTGTCAGACAATTATGTTGTAGATGCAGATTCTTTCTCACAGCTTGCTGCTTTGCAGCTGCATGTGAAAAGGATAAAAGCACAAATGTTGGTGAACATGTTGAAAATCCTTCCCCACTCCAAGGTCCTCTTTCTCGCTGGTTTTGGGAAGTTGAATGTTTGTTTCCTTCTTTGCTTTTCCTGAAGTGGTATTAGGAAAATTCCCCATCCAAAAAGGAAAAAAAAAAAAATAAAAATAAAAATCTAACATACCTAACTCTAATGAAATGGAAGAAGTCAAATAGCATTTGATATGATTTTCTTCCATATCAAAGCAGTAATAGACAGAAGGCTAATAGAAATCTCTGTAAATTTGCCAAAAATATCCAAGTAGCCTGTGGTCATTTTATCTTTCAGTTGAGTCTGTTAAATTAGAACATCTAAATAGTGCCAGACTAAGTCAACACTTAGATACAGTATTTTCAAGGATGACGTCCTCGGGTTGGATAACACTGGTGATAAAGTACCGTGTGTAGAAACCAGGGTACAAATATTGTAGCAGCCCTATTTCAGCATCTGCTATTCATCAGTCAGAATAATACATGCAAGAAGAATTAGAAAGAGGGAAATGTTCTAGCCAGCTTTAGGAAAATATGCAAACAAATGTAATTGGCTCTTGCTGTTAGCCCAAATGAAAAGAAGTGTGTAGACTGTGGGGAAAAAAAATTTCCGTGAGAAAATCACTGCTTTTTTATAGGTTCATCCTTGACTTCTGTCGTGGTTGGGAAGTGTTTCCCTCCCTTGTTTGCATTTTAATGGCTGCCTACTCTGTTTTACTTTATTGATGCACCAGGGTGTTCACCTAGTCTTAAGCATTTTTTTTTTCTTTCTTCCTTGTGTAGTGGGGAATTGTAGTTCGTACTTCTATCCTTGTAGATGTTGGGAGGTAGCCCTGGATGTGAAATACTAGTGAGTCCTTGGGTATCAAAATTAAAATAGACAAGGCTTTCCGAGGGGGTCATGACCCTCTTGCTGAGCCATCTGAGAGTTTGTTTAGTAGTGTTATCATTTCAAGTAAGTAAATACAGGGCTACAGATCTGTTTTGCCATTTGTAAAGGCTTTACTTCAGCTAGCTTTCTATTCCAGCCTAGCAACGGTGGTCCTCTGTTTATTGCCTTATGTTTAGTAAATATTTTCTTTTCCTCAGTGTCAGTCAGAATTGACCGAAGCCTTATTCATTTTGAAAGAAGGCACAGTTAGCTTGTGTGAGAATCTTGGAAGAGGCGCTCGAACTTCCAGGGGACTCTGTGAGAACGGGCTGTGCTCAGTGTTTTCCAGCATCAGGCTCCAAGGCCACAGGTGCTGCCGGAGCTGTGAAATGTGCATGCATGGGGCTGTGAGCACACCGCTTCCCTCATGGGTTTATACAATATTGGCTTGTTTAATTCTTAATTTAGCCTACGGGAAGCTGAGTCTTGAATTTCAGTGTTTGTTTCTGCAGGAGAGAGCAAAATGAAGAGCCAAGATCAATACTGCTTGCAAAACCAGAGCAAATCAAGCAGACTTAGGCTTTTGTAGGATCATACCCCAACTGACAAAGACTCCTGTAAGAGATGGTAGATAATGCCTGATTGTTCGGAAAAGCTCATGATAATTCATTGTACTAATATTTTTGTGCAAAAATAGAATTCTTTGTGTGAATGAGATGAGCAGGAATAGTTTCTTGCAGTGCAGTTTCTTGGTCTGTCAAAGATGTTTTCTACTGACACTGGAAACAAAACCAAGAAGAGATTGCAGAGTTTTTGGCTATTGCTTGGAACTGCATTGCAGTCTCAAGGAAGTAAATCGGTAGATTTGATTTGTGCTCATTTTGAATGAAAAACAAACACGAAGTTACCCTGCTACGTACAGCCGTAACATGCACTGTCAATGTAATGAATTCAGTGTAATCGATAAAGCGGTAATTAGTACTGGCTGTCAGGAGCTTTAGCTGGAAGCTGGATACGGGCTCTAGTCCTGGGTGGAATGCGACTTCTAAAATAGATACATAAATCAGCCAGGAAACCCGTTTTATAGCAAATGCGTTAATTGCTTGGCTGGGGACGTGCATGGACCCGTTTTCCTAAGAGTGTGCTCTATGTTCTGCGCAGCTAAAACAGTCATATGTGGTGTCGGAGTCCCTGTCTGAATGTGTTTCCTTTTTCTTCTCCGCTTCAGTGAAAATTAAACCCAGCGTATTCTATTCCACACGCAAAGTGTTCTGGTGGTAAATCCCCGCAGGATCTTTCACACCCTCGGGGTGAAATGTGCTTTCCTGTCTCCCGTGGCATGTTAAGGGCGGTGGGGGGAAGGAGGCTGCTTCAGGACATGACTACCATGCTTCTATTTTCCATTTTGGTTGCAAGTTAATCACGGGCTCTTCTGTTGTAATACATGCCTCTGAGAGGACTTTTGTTCTTGCTGTAGCTCTTCAGCCTGAAGTAGTGATTGGAGGAGGAGGAGGTCGTTAGGCAGGGCTGGTAGATCCTGCTGCTGACTGGCACGGGTGCCCGGTGTAGATACTGGAATTGTTCTGATCAATGCTCTCCTGTTGTTGGCATGACAGACAGGCAAAGAGATAAACTTCTTTTTCCCCCGCTTTTATCTCCACAGCACTTCACAGAGTTCCTGGATGAGTTTTCACCTGATGTCCTAGGCCAGCTCTTGAATGATCCCTTCTTGTCTGAGAAGAATGAAATAATGGAGGTGGAACTGTCTCCGGCATCGCCAGCGCCCCTCATCCAGGCAGAACACAGCTACTCCCTCTGTGGGGACTCTCGACCCCAGTCTCCCTTGACCCACATCTCGACCGATGACAACTTTAATGAAGGTAGCACACACCGACCCCTTGTTTGTTTGTTGTGATGATGCAGAAAATGAAACGTTCCTGGTGGGGTGATGATGCGCTAAGGGTGCACCTGAATGCTCTTTGCTAATTAACATGCCTGCAGTGAAATCACGGAAGGGATTTGTTTGTTTTAAATCTGCAGGCGTTGTGAGTAAAGAAACTTGTCCATAGACAGGGAAAATCGTGCCCAGAAGAAGTTGCAAACTTTGCACTGTAAACATTTTGAGTTGGAAGTGAAGTGCCCATCAAAAAGAAATGGGAGAAGGGCCAGAAATATGCTTGCTTCCATGTGTCTGAACCTGTGGTTGTTGAAGATAAATGGAGATGGATAAACCAAATGAGGACCACCATGAGGTCTGGGTACTGTAGAACATGACATGTAAGGAAAGGGTGAGGTGGGTTTTGTTTGGTCTTCTGAATAAAAGGAAAAGGGGAGGTCTTATTGATGTCTGTGGCTCTCTGATGAAAGGGTGCAGAGAAGACAAGGCTAGACACCTCTGAGATACACAGTGATAGAACAAGACGTGATGGTTACAAGTTGCAAGAAAGGAAATTCCAGTTGGGTGTTAGGAACATAATTTTCACCTTGAACAGGTGTCCAGAGAGGCTGTGAAGTCTTCATCTATGGAGATATTCACAGCTGAGCTAGGCAAGGCCCTGGGCAACCTGATCCAAATTGGTCGTACTGCGAATAAGGAGTTAGGCAAGATGGACTCCAGAGGTCCCTTCAAAGCTACATAATTTCGGGTTTATTAAAAAGAAGCGAGCAAACCTTTTAAACTACTCTTATTTTTCAGTAGTGCATATCTGGAGCTTTCTGGTATCCCAAAATGAAAATCAGATCATCTTGGTTACATTTCTAAATACACATGTAGGAATGTAACTTCAGGTGCTGCCCAGTCTTAAAACCTGTCTTGCTGAAGGCCTTTTTTTTTTTTTTTTTTTCCCTACTTAGAAAATAATAATAAAAGGCAAATAAGAAAAATAATGCCCATCAGGAAGTCATTGGTGATCTTGTAAAGACATAACTGCAATTTTGTAGATTCTGTGGTTGTGGGAGATGACGATGCATGGAAAATGCTGAAAACCAACAGCATTTTTTAGCAGTTATCTTTAATTCAGCAGTTATAAACATCTGGAGGGGAAAAAAGGGAAATGTAGGAGGAAATGTGGGAGGAAGAGATCCAACTTGCTTGTTCTGGCAGGAAGGGGAGTTCAAGGGAAAAGCTAGTGGTTGACAGAGGGGCAAGGCCATGAATATCTGTTAACTATTAGGAATAATCACCATGGCAGACTTTCACTCCTAGTAATTGGTTTATGTCTTCAACATTAGCTTTACAGTGAAAAGCAGTGGAGTACTAAGCTGGAGCGAGATTAGTGTTTATGTCTAAGCATTAACAAGCAAAGCTGTTTATGAAGATCCACCAGGACATGAGTTTTCAAAGGCTGACAGTTCTGTACTCCAAAACACTCTCTTAAAACAAGATGCAGTCTGTTAGAGATTTCACAAGAGGACAACTAATAAAACCTGTGAGAAGTCTTTTCAGTTTGAGACAGGGTTTTTAAGGATGATCTGGAAACCTCTACATAAAGCTTTCCCATTTTATATTACCTAACTGTTTTATGTGAATATCTTTAAATTAATGCATACAGGAGATATTAATTGTGGCAGAAGCATGCGTAAGAAACTTCAGAAACCAAGCTTCTCTGAAAGTTAATAGGGAGAAGCTTTGAACTAGGCTAAAAGTGAGGGGAGTTTCCTTTGGGGAAAAATCCTGAAGAAATTTATACTGCTGAGACCATTGGGTAATTAATAGAGCTCTAGTCAAATGATGTTTTAAAAAGCCAAGAAATGTTAACAAGTGGGTTTAAAAATAGAAAATGAATGGAAAGCATTTAATTCTCTGTTCACTCTACAGAGTGTTTCATAAGGGAGGAGGAGGAGGAGGAGGAGTTATGCTTGGTGTTTGGGATTTTATGTAATCTTAACCCTGGAATCACACTCATGACCTTTCAATACCTATCAACTTCCAAACAGTGAAGCTCAGAGGAATACTTGGGGAAATTGCAGAATTACAGATGACATGGCTGGCTGATAGATATTCAAAGGATGATTTTTCAGTCCTTGAGTCCGTGAGAGCAGGAGAGGGAGATTTTGTGGGTGGCAATACTGCAGGTTTTGACACTGGGGATTGGAAGCTTCTCCCGTGTTAGATGATGGAGGCACGCACTGCTCCTGACAACTCTGGTGAATGCCAGTCTCCTTGGGGGAGTAAGAGGACGGATACTGGGAGCACCAGTGTCCTTTTGGGGAGCAGGAGCTACAGGGTGTGGAGGGGGGAGCTGCGTGTGCCCCAGCATGATCTCCCCTTGCCAGGGAACTGGGAGTGGTTTCGTGGAGTGGCAGGGGCTGAGAAACGAGGATGGCTGAGGGACTTACATAAAGAACGCTCAAAAACTTGACGTTCTCCAGATAACCACCCCACTGGGCAGGTCAGTGAGCTCCTGCAGCCGTCACGCTTTCGTGCTTTTTCCATGGTGAGGCTTCCTGATCCTGCAGGACCTCGCCCTGCGGGACTGGGAGGAGAAACAGGCTGGTCAGGAGGCTCACGTCGGACACTTTGATGCGTCTGTTCACACATGCTGTGGACGCATTGAACCGGGCGCCTGCGCGCCTGCGGTCAGCAGCGGTGCGAGGAGGAGGAGGGTGGCACAGAGCAGTTAAGCTGGGTCTGGATGCCATCGCAGCGCTTCGCCCTTAACTCTAGAGGACTAAGGGCCTGGTGGTGTTCCCGAAGCACGTGGCAGACAGGCTTTGGCCTTGCTTTGCTGCGAAGTCTGTAACGCCATGTTTCTTATTCGTAACTCGCTCAGCAGTTGTCCTGGCAGCGAGCGCCGGCGAGTTGTTTCCCAGGGTGGGCAGAAACCTCCTAGGCAGGCAGAGACAAGTGCGAGGAGGGGGGAAACCCCTGGATTTTCTAGGGCCAGGCCCCCTTAGCCAATAATGCGTCCTTGGAAATGGTGCCTGTTACGGGCCTTATCACTGCTGTCACACCAGCAGTTACCCTGTTAGCGTGACCTGGAGCTGCAAACTCCTTTCAGCAAAGGCAGCTTTTCCAGTGCCGTGGGCTAGTGGCTGTTGAGAGGCAAGCTGAGCTCCCTGCCGTCACTTCTAACTCGATGCGCATTAATTGTGTAGCGCTAAGGGGCTGCTCAGCCCTCAGGTGCCATTTCTGTGCCAGGAGGAGGCAGGAGGCTCGCCCCGTGCCGTGCGCTGCTGAAGGGGGGCTGCCTGCAGCGAGCAGGGACAGGGGGGTGGCTTGTACCACACTGGTCCGGTGTCCTAAAGGGAAACCTACCCGCCCGCCTTGAAAAATTAGCCTTAAAAACGGAAGTTTGCTTCCGTGGTGACAGGCCTGTTGGAGAGGCAGGAGCGATGCTGGGGGCAGGGTCCTTGCTGGCCCAGGGTGATCCCAGCCTTGCGGCGCCGGGGCTGGTGTGCTGGCACCAGGCTGGCCCCACTTCGTGTCTCTCCGCTTACCTGCCTTTCCGCCCTCCTCCTCCTTCAGGCCGTGCCTGCCTCTTGGAGGAGGGAATTGGACTGTGGGAGTCATCTCCGGCTGTTTCAATGACACCCGACATCTGTGGTGGTTTTCACCTGCGTACTCCCAACTGTGGAGTCCCGGAGCCCCAGGTTACAGGGAGGCTGAGAAAAAGGCCTCTCTTTGGCACCTGTTCTTCAAGACAGGTTTAAGCCATTCAGTGTCTTTTTCCCTCTTTTTTTTTTCCCCCACCAAGTCTCTAGCAAACTTACTGAAAATGTTACTCAGTGTTTCCTTTTGGCCGTTCTGGTGGAGTGAATGATCACTCTTGACTCTAAGCACCTTCTTACCGACTGTTGCAGGGGAACAGTTAACTTCTGCCACAGGCTGTTCTTGTTGGCCACTACGCAGCCATTACCACGATTTCTGCAACGACTGTGTTGACTTATTCATGTGACTGTAAGTCTTATATAAAGTTTTTTGAAAAAGTTCTAGAAGTGTAAAACCTAGCAAACTTGTAAGGCTGGGTTTAACTCTTCCAAGGAGTCCTGTTGACCTCAAGGTGAGAACATGTTTAAGCGGCCATAAGATCAAGGTCCCAGCACCGTTTTTGCCCAGTTATTCGCTCTTCTGACTTCACTGTATCGAGGGTATTTCCCCAGCTTCGTGCAGAAGAACTTTTCTGAATAGTTGCAGGTTGTTGCTAGTGTGGGGTCTCTGAAGGCATCAGTCCTAAAATCTGTAGTCTGTGAAAGCATTGGCAAGAGTAACTATTTTAAAGCAGATGTGAGCAAGATGTCTGGCATTTAGTTGTTTGTTTTTTTCCCCTGCGCGAATCTATTTTTATATTCAATTTTGCATAAACTTTTAAGACTAAAGATACTAGAGAGAGAGATTTATAGGCTTGACCTGCTTGCTTGCAGCTGGCTGATCATGTGCTTCTGTTTGAACTGGTGAATAAGGCACCTGGCCTGGGGAGGGCTCCCGGCTCTAACATGAAAAAAAGAGGCTGCATCCCATGTACCGATGAGCCACAGCAGTTGCACTGCCATTTCTCTCACATCAGGTTTCCTCTTTGTAGTTGTAAGCCCTGGGTTTTTTGAGACAACTGCAGGGTAGCTGTGGAGAAGCACAGTGGGTAGCTGTGAAATGGAAAATGCTTCTTGGAAGGAAATGAAGGAGCTGGGAGGGGAGGCTGAGAATAGGGCTGATAGATAAGGGAGACCTCTTGCTGCTCATCAGGGCCTTTTGGGGCACAGATTTGCTTCTGACAGTTGTAAATGGTTAGGGAAGAAATGCTTTATTTCCTATTATGGTTGGTGCATGCCTGCTTTCAGTTTTCCAGTCTCTGCAGCCTGTTGGAAAGGGAGGGCTGTGGGTCAGACAGCCAGGAGCAAGGCAAGAGTTTCAGCAGGACTGTGGTTAGCCACCTGTGTGGCT